ACCAGACCCTGACCAAACAGACCGGATCTCCTTTGGTTTCTATTGGCTCTGTCACTTCCTTGGTTTGATCAGATGCATCTTTGCAAACAGCAGTTTTGTTTCCATTTTCTGCAGAGAAGGAGAAGCATCCTCTTGGGAATTTTTTCTCATAAACTAGAGGAATTTTCAGTCTTTGTGAGGCTTAGATGGAGCTCTGGGATATTTCTTTCTTCTGAAACAGTTACTGGAGGTGAATTTCCTTCTCCATTCCCCTGTGAGTTGATTGATTGATAGCTATAGAGAGAATTTCCCAGGTAAGATAGAAAAAGGCCTAAGCTGGATTAAGGATGCAGCTACTGTTGCTCTGAATCATTATCATTGCTGCAGCCAGACCAGCCAAAATGTTACATTTATTTTCCTTTCCTGCAGTCAGAGTCATGGAAACATTTCTGTTCTTATGACTGGATCTATTGATCCCAGCCTTCTGATATATTTGGGCTGGAAGGGTTAGAATTTCAGACTCGCTTAAACAACCTGAGATAATGTGTTTGTGTTTGGAAATAGAAGCTGAGCTCTGACCCAAACTGTTCAGGATAAAGACGGCTAGAGTTACAGACTGCCTGGCTGCTGGCCAGCCCTCCAAAGAGAAGCATTAGTAGGTCACACGATTAGCTATAAGCAGTAATCCTGTGGTTATGGTGTTATTATCTCCTCTAAGAAGTCATGGATGAGAGATCCTTCTAATGTAATTATACCTGAATTAGCTTCCAAAGATATGAGCGGCTTCTTATCTGCCATTTTCTGTCTCCAAGCCTTTTCCATCCATCCTGACAGATATCTGCACTGCCCTTTTATAGATGGGCCTCCACGCTGCTAGCAGATATTAGCTTTGATTAAGGTTATTAATCCCACTGTACCTTTAATACGTCTATAGATGTTCTTCCCTGAAATGAGGCTTATGAAGATGTTTGCGTCTTCTCCAAATCCGTAATGTCCTGATCTGGACCAGAGCTGGTTCTGATCCCGATCCTGCCCTCACTGGGCTTCAATCAATGGCGTCAGTTCAGTTTATTTTGTATTCAAAGTGTCATATCATGGCGCAGTGCAGAGATAATATCCTGCTATGCTACCATGTTGATGTTTTTGTCATCCACTGCTAGTTCATCTGGTAATATTTGGGTATTTGCTTTTCCTTCTAGGGAACTGGACCACACTGGACTCCAGGTGATCTGTTGGAGTGTTCTAGGCTTTTCCTGGACAGGAGGAGCTCATCATCTTTTGAGGCGCGCTCTGAGGATGGGGAGCTCAGAGAAAGCTACTGTTTTCGGCTGGGATTCCTTCACCCAGCTCTCAGTCTGAAGAAAAGCACCAAGTCCCCAGAAGGAGGATCCAGAAGCACAGCCTGCCAGGTTCAGGCCACGCCCACAGAGAGCATGTCCGTTTCAGTGGGGCCTTCATGGATGTGGTATCCCCAGGCCAGGGCCAGACTCCTGCTGTGGATGGGCCTGCTGTCTGTGTGTTTAGCTGCTGTCCATGCCCAGCAGCATCCGGTAGCCACCACCAACTATGGGAAACTGCGAGGAGTGAAGGTTACATTACCCAATGAGATCCTGGGACCGGTGGAGCAGTACCTGGGGATTCCCTACGCATTGGCTCCAACAGGGGAACGGAGGTTCCAGCCACCGGAACCACCTATGTCCTGGCCGGGAATAAGAAACGCTACTCACTTTGCTCCAGTTTGTCCTCAGTTCTTAGAGGACCGCTTTTTACTCAACGACATGCTCCCTGTGTGGTTCACCGCCAACCTGGATACGATAGTGAGCTATGTGCAGGAGCAGAGCGAGGACTGCCTCTACTTAAACATCTACGTCCCGACTGAAGACGGTAGGTCTGCCGCTCGCTTCTTCAGCTGCTTCTTTTTTCAGGTTAGAGACACTGTTTGGGTATCAGAAGCAGATTTAGTGATCCTGCTTTGATTAAGAAAAGTCTGTGTGTCCGCATTAAGGAAATGTCTGATGGCTCATAGTAGCAGTCTTCCATCTCGATGTCTTCAGTGTGAAAGGTGGCAAAGAAAACCTGAACTAGATGTCTCCTGAATGGTGGACAACCGATACCAAGGTTTAGTTAAAATCTGCTGCCGACATTAGCCATCCCTGCAGTCATTATCTGCATGCTGGCTGTTAGAGTGGCTCAGGCTGTCAGTACATGACACCACAGTCAGAGCCAACACGCTAATTAAGGCTAGAATGGTTTGACTAAAGTGGTGACAGGTGTCCAGGAGCATTTTAATGGTCCACCAGTTTATTCTGTCCAAACGGTAGTCATTAAACAGCTCAAACCACAAGATCGGTCTGCCTTATTAGAGTTTATTCTATTTTCAGATGGTTTCTGTCTCTTGGGCAACAATATAAGCCATTAGCTTCTGTTAGTTTTAATGAGATGAGTTTCCTGCAGTGCCATACTAACAAACCTTTAGGTGAAAAGCATTTGAATGTGGATCTGCTGATGTTTTCATAGAGTTTGTATTTTGGTTAATTCCCACCAAACAGCAGATGTTATTTAGACATTGGTATTTAGGCCAAATGTCGTTGGTCCGTCATAGTCCGGATTTAGTCCAGAAATAGTTGTTGAAAATGGGGCTCTGTTTGGTTTGGCTTTAGTCCAATTATAGACATTACAAACCCTGTTTTCAACATCTTTTCAATTACCTGGAAATTGCAGCTTTTCATTTTTCACTTTCCAAACAAATGTAGACGTCATTTGGACGTCAATCATGTCGTCTTTCAAACCAATTTTTGCTGGGTGGGTTAATGTGGATTCTTCAGTCAGGGCATTGTTATTTATTATTGAAACACATCTAAGTGACTAGTTCTTTATGAAAATCTGTGAGTGAAAATGAGATAATTTTAAGACATTTAATGGGAAAACCAGGAGTTAATGGCATGAGATATGAGACAGTAAAGCGTGAGAGGCATACCAAGTACGGAAAAGATATGCATCATATTCCTTAGAGTCAGAGACATGGTCAGGACTGGGCTTAAGGCCATAGTAATAAGGGGTTGAGCTCAGAACTAGACTCAAGGCAGAGGCCAGGGGCCATATAGAGGCTACACTAAATGCCAAGGTTAGGGTTAAGGCCACCTTTGGAGCTAGAGCAAGGACCAAGTTCCGAGTTAAGTTCAGAACAAGCGTCAAGATCAAACATAGACCCAGGGCCATTATTTGGGCTAGTGTCAGGGTCAAGATAGCGTCTGGAGTCAGGGTCACGATCAAAGCCAAAGTCAAAGCCAAGATCAAAGCTAAGATCAGAACTAGAGTCAAGGCAGGGGCCAGGGCCACTGTAAAGGCTAGACTTAATGCCAGGGTCAAGACTAGGGTTAGAGCCACCGTCGGAGTTAGAGCAAGGGCCAAGATCAAAGTTAAGATCAGAACTGGGATCGAGATCAAGGCTATATCCAGGGCCCGCTTTAGGGCTAGGGTCAAGGCCAAGATCAACGCTAGGGTCACAGAGGCTATGGTCAGGACCAAGCCTGGGGTCAGGGCCAAGCCTGGGGTCAGGGTCAAGCCTGGGGTCAGGGCCAAGCCTGGGGTCAGGGCCAAGCCTGGGGTCAGGACCAAGCCTGGGGTCAGGGTCAAGCCTGGGGTCAGGGTCAAGCCTGGGCTCAGGGTCAAGCCTGGGCTCAGGGTCAAGCCTGGGGTCAGGACCATCCCAAAAGCTTAATTTCAGTTTATTGTCTTTTCTTCAATGGGAAGCATTGTCTTTTTATTTGGGTTTAGGTCCAGGACTTTGGATTTAACTCCTTCCCTTGATCATTCCTTCCAATCAGGGCAATGCTTCAGCTTAGCTCCACAGCATGATGCTACCACTGCCTTGCTTGACAGTTTGTAAAATGTTTTTCATTGGAGAAGCCTTGACCTTGAATCTTTATACAAGCCAATTAGCCATTACCATAGCGACCAAGCTGTAGATTAACTGAAAAGAGGATAACCTGTTGGTTCGTAGAGTAACCAGCGACCCAGTCTGTGGGAATGGGACCTGCTTTATCCTGGACTGGTTCTTCACCAGTTTCTAGTTCATGTCAGGCTGGATCGTTGATGGTCTAACAATACCTCCCAGCTATTAGCCAAGGATAGCCTGACATGCTAAGACCTATAGTATCCCATCAGTTTCTGATTTATTTCTTTAAGATCTACATTCTAACATGTTCATCCTGCTTCATCCACATGATCACAGCCACCTGTTGGCAGGAAACCAAATCTGAGATTGTCTTCCAGAAGAATCCAATAGATTCCTCTAGTTGAGCAGCTATTCAAACAGACCATGGCCTCCTGTCTGTGATTGACGGAGGTATTATGCAGTGTTTTAACAGCAGTCTGCTGCATGAAGCAGCAGCAGGGAGCATATCCACCTTTCAGGCTGGGCTTCTCCACCCTGAGCAGGAAATCATCATTTGTTCATTAAACACTTCCTGTGTGTGTTTTTTTGTTGTTGTTGAGAATCACGAGTGCCTCTGATGATTTCATAAATATTCAGGTTCATTTAACAGGAGGAAAATTTTATGCTGAACCAGTTTTGCCATAAGAATTAACCTAAATAGATATAAACTTAATTTTATGTCCAAACTATTATTTGGTCCAAGAATAAACAGAAACATACAAATAAAAAAAATCCAATGCTTTGCCGCATGAAAGGCAATATGTGGCCTAGTTGGACTCATCTTCTTTCAGGAACAATCCATCCTCTGCTTCACACCTGGATTCTCCTCTTCAGATCAATCCATTTTCTGCTAAATGGTAAATGGCATGTACTTATATAGCGGCTTTATTCAGGTCAGGAGACTTGACCAAAGC